GGGGATGGGAAACTTGGTGAACCACGAACACGGGGATCGATCCCATGTGTGTACTACATGGAGTCTCCGATCAGTATATATATATATATATATATATATATATATATAAAATGGATGTAGCTTAGCACAGTAACTAGAGGTGTCCGAGGTGTCCTGCTAGACACAAGGTTGTTGTGTTGTTGTGATCTTTAGGTTAAGCAAACTTCCATCCCTTCAAGGTCCGCAACAATCTACTCGAATCATCATGGCTCTGAAGAAAACAAAGGCATCGACGCGTTGCTCGAATAGAATTGTTTATCAATCCGTGTTAGATTATCAATGAAAGGATGCTTCATAGAGCCAAATACGTGGATCACCACTACGTGATAGATCAACGCCTCTTTACCTTTTACTCATTACACTTTAGGTTCCACATTCCCGTACAACGCACGGGCCTCTGGGTAACGTCGGGGTAGACGTGATTAAATCTGGAGTTGTATAGGAGGTAAAGATAAGAGCAGAATAAGACATCCACAATATGCTATTGAGACTACTTGATCGCCATCTAAAATTTCACAGCATTCTCTTCAATCTCCAATTTTCAGACTCAGGGTGCATTAAATTTCGCGTGATCACCAAATGGAACACGAAAAACGGGAATAACAACACGTAATTAAAGCGCCTTCATTGGAAATGTCAGTTGTATAGGATTTGTCGCCTATTGGCAAAACATCTTAGCAACTCATATGAGATTCCACCAATTTGCTGAGTCACCCTCCCTCTTAAATCCCCATTTTAGGTGAAATTTAATACCAATAACAGGTAATCGTTAACCTAGCTGTTCGGCCAACCAGATGAACTTTATCGGGAAGGGGTGTTAATCAACGAAGAAACCTTCTATAAATTTGTTGTCGGAAACTTTAACATGAGACTAAGAAAAGCCAATGGATACGCATTCAGAAGCGGTGAATCTGGACAAAAAAACCGAAAAACAACCAAAACCGTATTGCTGAATTCCTGTGCTCTACAAAAAGTTGCTTATTTTCTAAGAAGGAAGAAAGTCGCCATTGGACGCGTTGGACAGAGGAATGGGCTAAGCATAACTCATGCGTGTACCAATTCTCACAAACAGGAGGTAGTGCCTCACTGTTATCTCTGTAGAGCGCTCATTTTGTTCTGAATCCAAACACCAGCTATACCGTGCAGAGATCTGATCCAGTAACAAAATGGAAAAGAACTCCTGTTACCGCCTAGAAATAAAAAGACGAAGGAAATGTTAAACGGAATTCATTTCGCATAGAACTGACTGGTAAAGCAAGATATGAGCAAGGACTCCGAGACACTTATTGAAGACCTCGAAAGCTGAGCAGAATGCACTCCAATTCTCTAATCAAAAGTTTGAGTTACACTATAGCATCATAGAGTTGCTCTAGAAGAGAACTGAAAGAAAGTTTGATCTTATTAGAACATACCGTGCTAATAAATAAATGCTTATACCTACACAGGCAGAGAAAGAAATGTTAGAAATGGCAGAAAGAGATATACTATATAGAAATTCTCATCAAGACCTATTCGAATATAATATTTTGCATTCAGTTCTCTGAACAATAAGGGATTACTATGGTCTTATATCACGACATGCCCTTAATAACGAAAAGTTCTACTCCAGCCTCCTTCGTTGCACAATCCCTGTCCTAGAAAACTTCTAGCAACCAAACTTTCAAATGGATTTAAAACCTTCCATTTAAACCATTCCATGAACTTCAACTGGCATTACAAGAAAGATGTTGTATGAATTGGATCACACTAGCCATCAAGATCACCGAATCCTATTAAGAATACCGCCTTCGCTCTTACCCAACTTTGGTCGACTATGAAAGGCAGGCACTAAAGTGCTAGAGACGCCGTTCAATACGCACAAAACTGGGTCTGAATCGACTCCGTATCGGGAAAATCAAACCTCCCATTTTTATGCGGTGGAGAAATAAGCAAGACTTACCCGGGAGAAGTTCCCCTTTGAATCACAACGACTGGAGAGTTCTTGTTGTGAAAATGTGAGAACGCCCTTGTACTACCATATAAGCATTCAAGAAAGAATGAACTTGATCAGCATTGAAGGCCAGTCGTGAAGGAAGCCAAGCGAGATCAATCACTCACCAGCGGAACCCACGGGCAAATATGAACAGCTCTGTCGATGATGAATGCTGAGAGGAAATAAATAAAAAAATGAACTCGAATACACGCAAATGTGATGTCCGGTCATGCAATGGCCGTCTAGGAGACCATTTAAATGGGGGAAAAGGTAGGACTGTTTACAAATAGAACGAAGACGCAGTTCCTTAAAAACTCATATCACGAAGGTAAACAAGTCGAAAGTCATGGTCTTATGACTACACAGAAGTCAGCTTCCCCTAGGGTAAGCGCCTATAAGACGAGCAGACCAGTATGTGGTCCATGTCAACAAAGTGAAGAAGAGGCATTCAAGTATATCTATACAACCACAACGTTGCTGAGATATTTGCAAAACTCTGGACCGCAGGTGTCTATGGTGGGGAACGAACGCGCGCTGTTGTCCTTTCCGGGGAGTAACGCGTTCACCACCACACCATGCTGGTCCTTCGTTTCGCCTGTCTCTCAGCTATTTCTATCGATCTTTACCACAGCAATCACCCGTCAGCGGAATTGATCTGTGGCGGCCAAATCGGCATAGAACCCAGTTAAGCTGCGGCTGTGGTTGAAATCACAATGTCATACCTTTTTATTTTCTGCCTACTATAATTTCGCGGCAGGGGCAGTATATCTATAAAATTCTATAATGGTATAAATTATAAAATACATGTGTAGACTCTTGTGATAAAGTGGTCACAAGTCATTGAAAAAAACATATGACCAATGGGATTGATTATGCGGTCAAGGGTAACAAGACCCTCCATGCGTAAAGATTTGGTATCAAACTTGTCTGGAAAGATAAAAATTACTGGTTTGGAAGATCAGTAATTTCCACCACCTCAGCCACTGCGTGCGTAAAGCAAATGTGCATACGACCAGCTCTACATTGCTTAATTAAAATGGATTGAACGACCCTTCCCTATGGAATTTATAAACACAAACGTTTAATCCTTTATGTCTTATTTGACGAGAATACCGGTTTGTCTTATCAGAATAGAACTCGCCAACCTTTGCCTCAACGCGGAACTGGTATCGCTCTTGCATCATTTGTTGTACGGTCTAAAATTCTAAAGCTGTTGATAATTATTACACATCAAGGTCATCAAGAGAAAAATCAAAAACAATTACGTGTACATTAGATACGAAAGGCGGAGTAAATACCACCGGATTTTCGGGGAAAAAGAACGAGAAAGGAACGAAAGTTTAACCTTTTGACGCTTTTGTGACCGCGAAGCATCAAAAACACTCCCACAACTATCTCCTTCTTTCGCGTTAAGGTTTTCCATACTATTCTTATCTAAACATACCTCATGTGCAATAACGACAAACTAGAAATAAACAAGGAATTTTAAAAAAATAGCAATGAGATGGAATTACGCGTGAGGAATACTGACGAATCGCTTGGAACGGTATCAGCTCTTCTGGACTTCTGTATTGAACTATTCATAACTGAAATTGCGCTCAAATTCACTTAGGCATATCGATTTCCATTAGATGAAACAAAATCTACATGTTAAGAATGAGCTTACAAATTGACGGTGCTTGGTTTCGGCGCTTTATTCGCTGCAATCCCTTATCCTGAATAAGCTGTTGAGTACGTTCACGTCTAGCCTCCAAATCCCTTATAAACACCTACAATTAGTTGCTAAAGTCTAGCACGTGGTTAAGGAAGACATGATATCTTGCTGTAGTCGCTAACATACCTCTGGAGTAAACAAATCAGCATGACCATATGGTGCCAAGGGATCTGCTGATTCTTCTGAAATGACGAGAACGTCCATAGTTACACCAACAAATCCAATGAGAAGCCATAATGAAAAATACACAGCACCCAACAAAGAGACACATACCATTGTGAAAAATATGCTCTAGACAATAGTCCACAACAACTTCATTGACTTCGCGTTGAATAATGAGCTGAAAGTCACAGCTTCTCTATTAAACACATCACTCTCCAAAGAAAGTTCTCAAAGAACTTTTAAAAGCTTAAAGTAAAGCTTACTCGCCAATCGTGAACGCGCACGAATGCTGTGCAATGCATGTCGGGAATAGCAGAACGAATGTGGTTCGACTTGAAGTGACGTACGTCATTTTGGCACAGATAGTACATATGTTCATCATGAAGACACATTTTCTTCAAGCGATATTTACTGTGATATTGCAGTTCACGAATCCACTGCTAAACAAAGTCATACTACTAGTAATATAGGTAGAAAACCCATAGATTTACTAGATAAAAAAGAACAATATTGTACTTCGAACAAGCCTGGATCATCAAAGGTGAATCGATTTGTGAGAGCAGTTTTCCTGTTGTGATCGAAAAATATGTGCTCAAGAAGCTGATCTTGTGACGGAATCTCAGGTATGCTACGGAATTCAGCATTACAATTCATACAAAGAGACTGAAAGCCATTAAATCGCACCCAAAATGTAGCACCAAATATGAAAAAAAACCTTTAACAGAAGAAAAACCACAGTTTTGGAAGTAGATGAGCTAGGTCAAGCAGTCTAAGAGTCTTGCCTCAGATCAACCTACCGGAGGAAAAGGTTTTGTTCTTCTAAATCTCGTTGAATTTGCGGCAACACCGAATGAATCGTGGTACATACAATGGGTATCAGATTGACGAGCTTCAGCTGCAAACCTCTTGCGATAAATCTGAATCAAGCGCTCGTAATATGTTCACTATGGTTAAATGTTGTTGTGTGGGTAGGAATCATAGAATACAAACACACAAGATGATTGCGATGCTCTTCCAGATTTGCTTTGAGAGTTTCAAACGATGGGAAAAGATGTACGATATCTGTGTGTTCATCCATTACCTTGTCCACTAAAAACTGTCAACAACAAGATAATAACGATGAAAATACACGAATAAGATGCTGATTGTAATAAAAATTATATAAAAAAGGATAAAGCTCTCAGCGTAGATCATCTCTGATGGATGCGCCATGCATTCCACTCCATTAAGTATTGTTGGACGTGATTGAATGCATATCTGGCTTTTACAATGACTCGCGGTGACCTACCGATCTATCGAGCCATTGCTGCTATCTTCCCAGACAAGTCTGATACCAATTTGCCGACCCCGGAGGGATGGAAGGCTTGGTGATCCTGGAGTGCGGGATCGATCCCATGTGTAGTGCAAGGCGACTACTACGTCACACGCGCCGCATAAAAATTATAAACATATGTACGTATATATACATATATTACTAACGATATGCATGATAAAGTACGTCAAGGGGAAGATCGGTGAACTCTGCCATTAATCTGAGGTCGTAAACAGTAATCCGCAATCTGATCTGGAAAGTACTACTTTATTCCAACACCCAGTGAAAACAGAAAGCAAAACCTGGATGTCTTCTGGGCGACATAAATGGCTATGAGGTTCTCGCACTCGCAACTCTGTTATATTAGGAGATGTCCGAATAGCCCCACTGCAGGATGGGTTCGCACAGCGCCAAAGGTTCCAATTTGTTGGCTTAACCTGTGGTACACAACATAAACTGCAAAGGCGACAGAGTACAAAGCAAAACCAGAGCAAAAAGTTGGAAATATGATTCCAAAAGTGGTGCTTACAAATCCGTCAATGTTGTACAGATGACCCTCAAAGCAAAGTTGCTTCCGACATCGCTTTGAAAAGCACAAATACATTTTCGAACCATTTGTAAAGCTAATCACACGACTTAGCAGATCAGGTAGATTCATGTTCAACTCCTTGTCCACAGCAGTGTTATCGAAATAAATCTCGGAATCTGGAAACGGCGCTTGTTCAGCTTCTTTCTATTCATTACACAACAGTCGCAAAGAAAAGAATTAATATTAATCTTTTACTTGCGCCCTACTAGAATAGTGAAAGTAAATTCGACAGCACGCCACAACCACCTTGCTGAGTTAGTCATAAACTCTTTATGAGATTGATATCGCTCCTCAATCACGCATAAAACAAGCAGTTAACAAGCTGCACACTTATTTATGCTCTTAGAATACTAACAATGGCACTGACGATAAATTTTCAACGATGATTGCAATTTTGGAATCAACTACTTCACGGATCCAAAAAATAGACCTTGTTCGTCTTAGGTACATAAAAATCTTATAAAATACCCGAATTTTAGTATGCGTGTAGCGCAGTGGTAGGGGTGCACTGCAATATCTATGGGGTCGATCCCCTCCGCACTCCAGGTCCACCAAGTCCTCCATACTTCCGGGGTCGTAAAATTGGTACTAGACTTGTCTGGGACATAGCAGCACTGGCCCAACACATCGGCGACTTCGCCTTCCGCAGAACCGTGCTGTTGGACCACCCATATGTTCACGAGGGATGAACATGAACAAATGAATATATATATATATATATGTTTATACATATATATATGTTTTTATATATATATATATATATATATATATATGGCGCAGTGGTAGGAAGTACCCTGCAACACGCACGTCGAATCAATCCCAGCACCCATAGCCCACCACCAAGCCTTCCATCCATACGGGCTTGGCAAATTGGTACTAGACTTGTCTGGGACATAGCAGCACTGACCCAACACATCGGCAGCCCACCGTGAGTCATTGTAAAGACCAGATATGTATTCGACCACCTCCAACGATGCTTAACGAAGTCGCACGAATGGTGAATTCCTCAGTAGATCAAAGCCGAGTGCTTTATTGGTGTTCAAAATATGATCTTTCACGAAGAAGAAAAAATGGATAGACAAGTTCCGCACGATTCCGAAAATCTGTGTCATCTAGGTAGAGTGGAGGAATTTATGTATGGGAGATAGAGTTGTATATTGCACGCGTTTTCACCTCAAATAACAAAGTTGATTTTGAACTGCTGAGATTTGTCGATTTAACATTATAATCTCAACGGTTTACCTCTTCAACCCGGTTGGGAGGTGTTTCCGGATGTTGGGCTGAGATGTACAGAAGGGAGGAATCATCCCTCTGGCAGGGTCTTCCAAGCTCAAAAGGAGTTCTGCGTTTCCATCAGGAAGCTTAGCTAAGAGTAAACCAATATCAGAATCCACCACCGACTTGGTATATCAAATTAGTCGCATGGTGGCAAATCTCCCTCTGATCCACAATGGCTGCAACTGCCTGTGGTGGTGAGGACCTGGTGCAGCCTTTAGCTAGGCTGACCTCGGGATTCCAGGTAACCACAATAACCAAACCAGCAAATCTCCGAAAAAATGGAGATTGTGCTGGGGCCTTCACAACCAATGAGGACGGACCTTCCAAGTATCCAAGTAAATAATATTATAATCAGTTACCAGGATCGACTTTCTACCAACTTCGGCATTGGAATATGAATGCTAAGCAACTATAATCAACTGTTCTAATCTTCCTCATTGGAAGTCACGTAAAAAGCGGTGAGTTTTCGAGAAGGTGTTGGTCATGTAATTACCATAGAGTTTCTCGTCTTTTTGTAAGTGTTATCGAAGCGTTTGGCCTAGTAGATTGTATATCGGTATACCCTTCCAGGCTCTGAAGAAGGCGATGCTGCCGAAACGTCAGCTACTGTTGCATTGCATTGTGTTTCTCTATGGAAGTAAATGTATGCTGTTTAACAACCTCGCGATTGCTGAACAAGAAAACGACACATTATAATCAGTGACTACTTTTGACTCGTACTTTCGAACCACGTATGTTACGTACGCGTCACGTACTATGTGTTAAATAAGGGGTTAAAAATATAAGAGTTACTACCACAACGTTGCTGAGATATTTGCAAAACTCTGGACCGCAGGTGTCTATGGTGGGGAACGAACGCGCTATTATCCTTTCCGGGGAGTAACGCGTTCACCACCACACCATGCGGGTCCTTTGTTTAAGATAAGAGTTACTGTTTTCGTTACCGTTTCAAAATAAATAAGCAGCTCTATAACAGATAAAGCTTTCGATATCATCATCAATATCATGATCAATCCCTGTGGGATGCGCTACGCATTCGACTTTATTAAGCAGTTGTAGATGATTGGATGAATATCTGGCCTTTATAATGGCTCGCGGTGGCCACCGATGCATCTAGCCGGTGCTGCTATCCTCCCAAGCAATTCAGGTGCCAATTTGCCGACCCTGCAGGAAAGGACGGCTTGATGAATCTGGGGCGTGGGGATCGATCTCATGTGTATTACAGGGCGCCTTCGACTACTGCGCTAACGCGCTCCTGATTCAATAATAGTGCACTTAAAGCTTAATCAGTAAACGTTAACAATACCGTTACGCAACTCCGACGAGACGATAACTTCATTAGGGTGTGAGCGTATGTCTTCCTCAATATCATGATCGTCCACAATCCCATCAACCTCAATGAACTCCTCAACTTCTTCCTCGTTCACACCCTGAACGAACCTGAATTTTAAGTACTGCCAGAAAAATCTGACGAGTAGTACTGAACTAGGCAGCTGCCTAATATCAACAAACAACGGCAGTACAATTTTTCGCTGACTGATTAGTAACAGACAATCCAAACATTGCGGAAAAAATTCAACCCAGTGCTAAGTAGAATCTATTAAGGCGTAAAAAATGGAATTAGGCAGAGAATACCTCCGTGTCAACGGTCTCTTCCCGTTCCACTTCATGTATCCAATCTCCGGTCATACCAACCGTGATGTTTCCTCCCTTTGGCACATCCAATGACTGCTCTACACTCATGGTATTGGCATAACGAATTCGGCAAACGATTGTTGTAATAGAATGTATCCTGAACTAAAAACTTCAGTGGATTGAAACTAGCTTCAATAATTGTTAGAGCGTAATCGAATTCATGGTTCGGTTATGACGAGAATGTTCGTGATTTAGGGTGTGTACGCAACTACGGACCATTTTGGCTGTCAGCCCAGTCAGGGCAAACCAGAGTTTGAATTCTCATACTAGACCTTGGATTAGAGCTGATTCCTGTTCGAGTAAGGAATATTGAGTTATTTTTATCTCATATCCCAATGGTATTACTAGTATGGGCTCCTAGACAGTTACTGTTCTGTTTGCTTCTTCATTATCACAGAGCATCCGTCTTCAGCGTGTTCACGTCCTTGGCATCTTGATGTTTACATAGCTTTGGATTGGTAACAGTTCGTATGAGGTAGTCTTTTTAAGTGTTTCCTTTTCGGTATGATGTGTCTTAGTCGTAAAAGTCCGTGGTTTTTGGATATATGAAAATTGAAATTCAGGGAAATCTTTAATATGGAAGTCGTTCGTTCGCTTATGACGTAATACATGTCCAACTGTATCCAATTGTTAGGAAGTACGAGTACTTCAGGGATGTGAATGAGCGTTCATATGCATACTGTAATGCTGAAGTGTGTAGGTAATAACTTGGATACTTGGATACTTGGACGACCCGTCCTCACAGGTTGTGCCTCAGCACAACCTCAGTTCTCTCGGAGTCTTGCTGGTCTAGCTATTGTGGCTCCTTGGAGTCCCGAGGTCAGCCAAGCCAAAGTCTGCTCGAGTTCGTCACCACCACAGGCAGTCGCCTCTTGTATATCAGAGGGAAATTTGCCACCATGCGACTAGTGTGATACCAAGACTGTGGTGGAGCCTGGTATTGTTTTACTCTTAGCTAGGCTTCCTAATGGAAACGCCGAACTCTTTCTCAGTTGTAGAGCTGTTCTGGTGAGGAAGGGGTGAATCCCCTGCTTTACATCGCAGAGCGGCCCGACACCCAGGAACACCTCTCACTCAAGATGAGGTAGACCATTATGATGAAGTGTATAGATGCGTTAAATAATAATGCATGAAATATATGAAACTTTGGAGTTAGGTATTTGAATATTGAACTGCGGCAATTATTTGAATATGAGCACGTAAGTACTCTTGTTTCAGCATTGGGTCTTTATTAAGTTTTGAGAAGGACTCGCATGGTGTGGTGGTGAACGCGTTAGCTCCCGAAAATGGTAGAAGAATTTCGATTCTCACCGTAGACACCTGCGGTCCGGAGTTTTGCAAATATCTCAGCATATTTGTGGTTATTTTTTGAACTATTTTGCTAAATGGTTACCTTTTGAAAGTATTTGTTCCACAATCTTCTAGAAAAGTCATTGATCGAACATCGTGCGTTAGTTTCTAATGTCAGCTGATGTTGAACAATGGAATGCAAACTTTGTATATATGAACTACAATGTGAACAGGCTTTCGTTTGCTACATAGCTTTAACCCGTAGGACCACAAATTTTCAACAGCTAACGAAAATTTCTCGGTAGGTAGAATATTTGAGTCCAGAACATCACATATTCATTCAAAAGACTTGATTCTCTTATCCTCTCTACTTAGAAGTAAACATGATTTCGTAAAAATGATGCTCCATTGTTTAACACTTGCGCGTCCATTCTGAATTTTGCATGGTTACATTTTGCTTGAACTGCTTCTGATTCCATGGGGGCTAATTGGAATCTTTTGGTGCACACCGAGCTTATTCGACCGCGCTCTTGGCTAACTACGCTTCCCATCTTTCCGGAATTGGGACGACAAGGAGAATTAGGTTGACTACTGTTTAATGGAGTTCTTAAGGAAGCCCAAAAGTCCTTCAACAGTAGTTGAGGCCAGACACGAATCCGATGTCGTTCATGGATGGTTGGAAGCCAGAAAACAAATCGAATGCAAGGAAATAGAAGTAACGTGGTCATTTGAGCGCTGAAACTGTTTAAAAATAAGTCTATAGAAAGTTAAGAGCGAATTCTGAATTTCTGAATTTTCCAGCATAAGAATGGCAACTGTTGACGGCAGCGATTTGCTTGAGAGCGCTACTATATAACTCTAGGCGATTTTCCACCTTTTAAATTCCTTTCATGTTCGGAATCCGAAATTTCTTATCGCGAAAAAGGTGAAAGAAAGTACATTTCCAGAAAATTAGAGCTTCGTCTTGAAAGAGTAAGGAAGGTTTTTTTTTCCTAGCAATGATCTGAATATTGCAGTGGTTTTTATTTCGATTAAAAAGAAAGGATAAAGCTCTCAGCGTTGATCAATCCCTGAGGGGTGCGCCATGCATTCAACTTCATTAAGCATCGTTTGGAGGCGATTGAATGCACATTTAGCCTTTACAATGACTCACGATAGTCTACCGATGTATCGAACCAGTGCTGCTATCCTCCCAGACAAGTCTGATACCAATTTGCCGACCCTGTAAGGATGGAAGGCTTGGTGGGCAATGGGCGCGGGATCGATTCCACATGTGTGTTGCAGGGCACCTCCAACCACTGCGCCACACGCGCCCGTTATTTCGGTTAGAGAAGTTTATCATGAGCTGAAGTACGTTTATTTGAAACTGAACACTCTTAGAACTTTAACACCAAATGCATTTTACCAAATACTTTTGCGATAATGTATAGCTTCTGTCTACTGCTAATTATTGTTTTCATGGTAGGGTATTATGTGAAATGCTACCACAATGATGCTGAGATATTTGCAAAACTTGGACCTCAGACCAGAAAGAACTGCGATTACTCTTTTCGGGGGCTCACTTTTTATGCACGGCACCACTTAGCGCCACGTTCTGCATTTCTTTCAGATAGTCTTTGCGCCTAAACGGAACCATAGCAATCACCCTGCCGTGAAGAAAATAATGGGCGGTAGATAAAAATTATACAATGTGATTTGGGCTGCAGCCTCAGTTTAACTGGGTTCAATGTCCTTTTGTGCTGCTCAGATCACACCCGTTGATGGGTGGTTGCCGATGGCGCCGTTAGGATGAAAATACTGGCTGAGAGCGAGGCACAACAAGGGCCTCAGGGATGCCGTGGGTAACACGTGAGCCCCCTGAAAGCGTAATCCCGGTTCGATTTGGTCTGGGGTCTAAGTTTTGCAAACATATAATAGTCATTGTGATTGCATTTAACATAGTATGTTGGTTGTTCTTTTTTGTAACATTGCACGTTTATTGGATTACAGCTCGGATTCTCGTGGTACTAAATACTTTTCGGGTCGTTTTCTCGTTCAGCAACCGCGAGGTTGCTATACAGCATACATTTACTTCCATAGAAAAACAATATAATACAACAGTGGCTGACGTTTCGGCAGTATCGCCTTCTTCAGAGCCGCTTTTTACGTGACTTCCAATGAGGATGATTAGAACAGCTGATTATAGTCGCTTATGGTTGATGGCTGCACCATCCCACAGTAGAAACTGGCGCCAAGATACTGGGCCAACCCGCTTGTGACATCTGGGCATTCCTCCCTGCTATTCATTGTAGGGTTCTTGGCATTTATCCAAAAAGTCTGCGCGTTGGTGTTTTAGTTGTTTGATGACTGCACCACCCACATCAAAAATTGATGCGAAGAAAGAAAGGAAGAAACAAGAGAACGACTCATTTATTATCCAATGCCAAGGTTAATAGAAAGTCGATCTTGGGAACCGTTACCTCATGGGATCACTTATATGCAAAAGAGCTCAGATTTAAAGAGAACCCGACAAACTGCTCATGAGTGCATTGAAACCCGAGGAAAATCCCAGTGAGCTACCCATATGGGCTATTTAGCCAAGAAATATAAATATGGAGAGCTCTAATGTTTTTCGTTTTCCTTAACCCATGAAATCCGGTATGGACGCTGTAGTATCCATACGTGACGGCGCTAGTGGACAATATGGACACTATGGTGTGCCTTTTCGATCCAGTGGGCTCCGCAATTTTTTCTTACCGTGGTGTGAATACTCATTTGCTGACGAATTGAAAAAATATGATGGCTGGGACCAGAGGAACCATTCTGTAAGCTTAGTGGCTTACAAAAAAGGTTTTTTTTTTTCAGAAACGTTCATCGAGAAGTGGTTTGACCAACAATTAGCGTAAGGTGCAAAACACTTTTGAGTGATGACAGCAATACAATATGTTTGCATAATGGACCATATTAACACGCAGTAAATAGTACCATACGTATTATTCTTATCCACAGAACAATAGGGCAAAGTGTCTTGTATAACTCTGTCGTGTTCTTAACTCCTAAGGCGCTACATTTATTGGAAAATTATTTTTTCTTGTCAAAAAACCAGAATGTCAGCAGCAGCAAGAAATTATTCGTAGTCCACATAGAGAGCCACGCTGCACGGCGCGTGTACGTTACGTGCAGAGACTGCCGTGCCGTCATTCGGTGTGCTGGTGTGACAGGAAGTGACTGATAACGTGATGATCAGTTGGATATTCTTACCACGTGGAACTGCTTTACAGCCAAAACTCTTTCGTGTTTAAACTTTTTTATTTGCTGTTTACCGTAATTTTTCACGGCAGGATTTGTGTGGAACCACAGAGCTACTGAGATATTTTCAAAACTCCCAACCGCAAATGTCTTTGATGGGGATCGAACACGCTATTACCCTTTCCGCAGACCAACGCGTTCGCCACCACACCATAGTGGCCCTTCGTTTTGCCTTTATCGCAGCTAATTCACCTAAACGGCGCCATCAACAATAACCCATCACCGGGTTTGATCTAGGGAGTACAAGTCGGCGTTGAACCCAGTTAAGATGACGCTTTAATCGAAATCACAATGTTAACCCTTTTTGGCGAAAGGCAAAACGAAGGACCTAAATGGTGTGGTTGCGAACGCGTTAGCCGCTGAAAAGACTAATAACGAGTTCGATCCCCACCGCAAACAACCGCGGTACCTAGTTTTGCAAATATCTCAGCATCATTGTGGTTGGTCTTCCTTTTCGTCTATGTTTGTTTTCTTTAAAATAGCCTGAATGCTCAAGCAAGAGAAGTGCTTGTAGGCTACTGTACAGAGACCCATAAACCATGCCCATTTTCTCATTCAATGTTTGCAGCAAAAAAAGTGATTGTTTTTTTTTCATTGATGAGCGAACACGAAGTTGATAAAAGCTCCAAGGCTTTAAAAAATTATCTTTATCAACTACCAACTTCTGATCGAAAGCTAGCCATGGCCTTTAAAAGATTTCGAGATATTGTTTACTATGTTGTCCTTCACTCATTTCTCCGTTTATCGATGTAAATTGATAAAAAAGAAAGCTCTCGACATTGATCAATCTCTGAGGGATGCGATTTCATTAAGCATCGTTGGAGGTGACCGAATGCATATCTGGCCTTTACAATGACTCGCGGTGGCCTACCGATGTATCTACCTATGTGCTGCTATCCTCCCATACAAGTCTACTACCAATTTGCCAACCCCGTAAGGATGGAAGGCTTGGTGGGCCTGGGGTGCGGGGATCGATCCTGTGTGTATTGCAGGGTGCCTCCGACAACTGCGCAACACGCACCCCTTATGCAGATTGGTAGTGTTGAGAAATGACAAACCTGTGTTTTTGTATGTGTTGTCGTCGTAAGATAGTTTTTGGTACGGCGATGTCCATGAAGGCAGCATGTGCCGTTTCCCTTTCTCTTTCACTCAAGTAATGAAAAGCCAGTTGCATTTTTAAAGAAGTTCAGAACTACGTAGTCTTTTCCCTGAACTCTGACAGTATTAGAAGGTTGACTTCGCTATTTATCACCATGTAAAAAATTTGAATTAAAAAAAGAATAAGAGAGTAACTCATATATGACGCCAAAAGTAGGAATAAGGGATAATTCACGTGCAAATTCAAGTATATGAGTTACTCTCTTATTCTTTTCTTAATACAGCTGTGATCAAGGTTTCCCCATTACGCACTGTACAACTTCGATTTTTTTAGTCGTCGAGCCATAGCGCAGAAAATTGGGCCAGATTGGGGTAAACCTGTTCAGAATGCGTCCTCGGCTTCGTCAAGTCGTATTGATCTCCGTTTCTGCGGATGAATTCTCTAGTTTACCAACTTCACAACCTTCATAATCTCGAATTTACTAGAATTTTAGTGATCTCGCCTGGAAAATCAGTTTTTCATTAACTGAAGCGATCAATTCAATATTTCTCGAATGCCTCCGCATAGGTACCATTTCACAAGCGAACTATGTCCTGTTTAGGAAATGAATACCGAGAACGGTACCACTGGAATTTACCCTGATATCCATAAGGAGACACCAAAGTCGCCTTCGAAAACCATCATGGATCACGGTCCGGAAGACCTAGCCCTTCTGGTGAAGGCAGCTGACTTTGCAGCCAGACGGCATCGTCATCAGAAAAGGAAAGATCATGCTGGCACACCGTACATTAATCATCCTATTGGTGAGCTTGGTTTCTTTGCTCTATGGTAGTTATTTACTTATGTAGTATTTTTGTATTAAAATTTTGGGCTTCTGTTTTTTTTCGAAGTTAGGCCGATGGAGCACCAAACTGTGGGAGGTTAACAAGTACTGTCGTTTCATAGTTGCAAGAGAACTCAAATATGTAAATATTTATGTAGATCTTAAAATGAGGTTAAGGAGAATTCTGGTTCCAGGGAGTTATTGAAGAAAGAATTGTATAAATTGCAACGATGAACGGCTTTTTCTAACACAGAGGTAAGCGCTTTGCAACGCCCTAAATAAATCAGTTTTCTTTTGAGAAGTTGAACTTTATCTGCTCTAAATTCGGCTGTAGAAAACAGTTGTTTTTAACTCTTTTATTTACTGCCTTTTTCTTCTTAATGGCAGGGCATGTTGTGAAATATAACTCGTATGAAATGCTGAGATATTTGCAAAACTCCGGACCACAGGTGTATGCAGTGGGGAACGAACACGCGCTGTTGTCCTTACCGGGGAGCAGCGCACTTCACCACTACACCATCCGGGTCAATATATTCTCAGCATTTCATACAGTTGCTTTTCTTCACAACACATCCTGGGTCTCACATAGGATATTTCAATATACCTAGGTATCCTTTAAATCAGTTGAAGTGTTGGGATTTTCCTTGACCTGTTTATATGATCTTAAGACACCTCGTAAGAAATATCTCCATATAATTGGAAGGACCGAATTTGTATAAATCCCGACGTGAGAATTGATATGTATGTATATATACATATATTCTTACAAATTAACTATTCTTGTTTAACTGACGCGAGGTTGGTATAGATGTCCTAATTGTTGCTATTGTTGTTCGACGGCTCATGTTTCGGCGACTTCGCCTTCCGCAGAACCGTGCTGTTGGACCACCCATATGTTCACGAGGGATGAACATGAACAAATGTATATATATATGTTTATACATATATATATGTTTATATATATATATATATATATATATATATATATATATATATGGCGCAGTGGTAGGAAGTACCCTGCAACACGCACGTGGAATCAATCCCAACACCCATAGCCCACCACCAAGCCTTCCATCCATACGGGCTTGGCAAATTGGTACTAGACTTGTCTGGGAGGATAGCAGCACTGACTCGACACATCGGTAGGCCACTGTGAGTCATTGTAAAGGCCAGATCTGCATCCAATCACCTCCATCCATGCTTAATGAAGTCGAATGCATGGCGCGTCCCTAGGGTATTGATTGATCAACGCCAAGAGCATTATCCTTTGTTTTTATCTGTGCGGTATTTCTTTGGAAAGAAGTGAAATTACTGGGATTCGTGCATGGTTAACAGTATCAGCGAGAACTCTGTAGGGATCCTGATCATATTAAATAACTGGATTGCTGAGTAGTACGTTGTTACTGAGCGTATTTGTGAACAGTTCTTCTTCACTGAAGTAACAAAGTTTTCTTGTTTCTTTTATTTTTCTGTCATTTTAACTCTTTGAATGAGTTTACCCAAAGATGTGTAATTTTTTTTTATTTGTTTTACATCACCCGTAATCATATCTGTTTGCGAATTCCAGCACTTCTTGCATTCGATTTGTTTTCCTCGAATTTAAAGTCCATAAAGGTTATCGAAAACTTCTCGTTTTCTTTCCGCTCCTGCTTGAAGACTTAGTTTTCTTAATGAGTGTCCCAAAATTCCCTATATGGATTGAATGGATGAGAGCGTTTGGGAGTGGGTCCAACCAGCATATTTTTTTCTGGATGGTCTGCATCACTAACCATGTTATGTTAGGGGGATTATATCTATGTGTAGTGGGATTAATTTACAAAATTTAATCGGGCGAAAATTACGTTCATGCTGGCTTTGTTTCCGCTGAAGATTCGGTCAGCCGATAATGTGGTGCAACAACAGGTAGATGCGCTAATTCGGTGGTCTAATTTCGTAGTGAGGAATTCGAAAACGATGTGTGATGTTTCGGTTCAACAAAAGGAACACACTGTGTGAATCTAGCACTCGATAGGATAAATAGGCTAGCCCAAGTCCATTTATTCAATCATTAGTAAACAATAGTTGATGGTAGTGGTGATCAACAAAGTGCAGGGTTAAACTGAGGTTATCCTTGTATAGTTTAGTCGATAGTGAATGATGCATATTATTTTTCCCCTTCGCTTACATAAGACGCAAGTGCATGCTTGGAAAACCTTTGAATATGTGGCCAAATATTGAATGGATAGACAAAGTTTGGCTAAATGATAAGTTAAGCAGTTTGACAAATGCTTTTTTCTTGTAGGCGTCGCTTACATCTTGACAAACGAAGCAAAAGTGTTTGACGTAATCACTTTGGTTGCTGCGATACTTCATGACACTGTTGAAGACACGAAGACGACTTTAGAAGAAGTTCGAGAACATTTTGGACAAGAGGTACGGTTTCTGGTCTCTAAATGAGGACAACCGATTTCCTCGAAGGAAGAGGGCTTAAGTTTTTTGAATGACAATGACTGAATTCAATGATTACAGGTGCACGATATTGTCAAGGAGTGCACTGATGACAAGTCGCTACCCAGTGAAACGAGGAAAAGAATGCAGGTGGAAAATGCACCCCACCACTCACACAAAGAAAGTCCATTTTATTCCTACGTTGTTTGTTTAGATCCCTGTATTTTCACTGGCTACGCATCGTATTCGATCTGAGCTTTCATCTCTCTGCCCTTACATTTTTTTCGACAAATCAATCACGCGATAACATTTTTGCTTTGGTACAGTTTTTCTAAATTTCCTTGGTGATAAAGGTCACCTTAGGCTATGCATTGAGCAGAATTTATCATATGTCCAGCGATCCAGTTGTTTAGGTATCGGGCGAGAGCTTGTTTTCTAAACAGTCGTATGGGGTAATGTCCACTAAAGACCAGTTATTCAAGGATCGCTTAATGCGGTCCGTAGTGCTTTCGAAGTGCAGTTTTTCTCCATCCAATGTGGTTCTTCGATGAGTCAGTTGAAAATGTTTCTGCAAACGATGGGACATTGCGCTGCTATGAATCTACTGCTATTCATTCTTTCTACAAATTCAGAACCTCAGCGAATTTGTTAGCACGATAATCATAGCGTATCTCCTGTATCACCTGTAGTTCCGTTGATCATCAAGTGACTCGAGCGGGTGCCAGTAAATCTTCCATTTTTCGCTGTCGCGTGCAAGAGTAACCCAGTGGGTTCTGCTCGCTCTAGGGATTCGTCGAGCATCATATCTTTCTTCAAGGCTCTTTGTGAAGAACTCTGAACATCGGGTCGGCGGTCTTCCTGCAGTAGGTTTGACATCCCGAGGAATCCAGTCACTAACGGCTCTTGTCCATCGGTTGTCATTCGTACTCATTACGTGTCCGGCCCACCTTATCTTCGTACAGAACGGCATCTTTAATTTTTGATCGTTGACGCAGGTCGGAGCTTTGGATCCAGTGCCGTACTTGTGTGAAACGGGATATTCCTAGCATCGTCCCTTCCACTGCGCGTTCGATAACGCTGAGTGATCTTTCATCCTGCTTACGCAGCGACCAATTTTCTGACTGAAAGCTCTCCAAGTCGCTCGTTTCCTTCTGCTCAACTCTGGAGCACAGTCGTTTATCATGTTAATTTTCAGAGCTAGATAGACGTAACTGGAGCATCCGGCAGTAGGTTTCCATTCCGTTGAGAGTGAATGGAGCATACGTAACCAATCCGTTCCTCATGAACATCGTTTATGTGAAATTTAGTTGAAGACCAATTTTTTCACCGCTTCTATCAAAGTTGACAAGCATTCGTTCCGCCTGGCTAATGTTTGGTGTTATAAGGACGATGTCATCAGCAAAGCGAATATACTATAATTGCCGACCATCGATTTTCGCTCCCATATTGCCCCATTCTAGTATTCGCATGACGTTTTCGAGAGTGACGGTAAATAATTTTGGCGGCATGGTTCCGCATTTCCTACTCCCTCTTTTGACGTCGTTGTTAATGTCGTTGTAGAATGATGATATCTTGGTTGTGGAATTTTTATTCAGGTCACGAAGAACCTTTATATACTAAAGGGACTTCTGAGTGTTCAGGGTTTCCATGAATGCTTTTATCTTAGCTGGATCAAAAGCCTTCCCTAAATAGATGAGAGTGAGACAGAGCGATCAATTGTACTCTCGGGATACGTGTTGTTATCGTGTGGTTGTGGTCCATCGTACTAAATCCTTTTCGAAATCCTGCTTACTCACATGGCTGTCCTGCGTCCAGCGTTCTGTCAATTCTGTTTAGGTTGACTTGAGTGAAAAATTTGTAGACGACAGACAGCTAGTAGATTGGGCGACAGTTGCCGATATCGTGAAGGTCACCCTTCTTGAGCAATAGCACGATCTTGCTGGTCCTGGACCTTGCATTCAAAGTGGTAACGTGTGATGAGCCATGCCAATGTGTTTACGAGGTCTGGCAAAAGGTTCTTCAGGTGTTGAAATCTTATGCTATCCAGGCCTGATAATGTTCGATTTTTCACCGACGAAACGGAGGACGTGGCTATTGAAGAGGCCTGATTAGTAATCGTGAATGATTTTCACCCTTATGATGGTAGCGTAATAGAATGAAATTTACCAGTTTTCGAGATCCTATTCTTATGCTCAAGCATTGCTGTCCATATTGAAAAAGGAAATCCATGAAGCAATATCTTATAATAGAACAGTTCTACCGCCCTCCACTGGTCCGTACATTCATTCGGACTCGACGAAATGGCATATTCTTTACTTGGTGATTCTTTTCTAGCTTTCTTTTTTTTTGGACAATGGTGCTTTCTTGTCAAAAATTATCGTGAAAACGCAGATGTTTCTAAGCCAGTGTGTGGAAGCTTTCTTTTTAGTTCGTCACTCTTGCTTTACGTCACTCTAGATTTTCTTAACTCTTCTTTGACAGAGGACATGTCCAAAGTGGAAACCAATCAGCCGTAATCTTGCTGGTCATCGTGTGACTGGAAGAGCAGAAGAAAATCTACGGCACATGAAAATTTGTGCGAAGCTTCCCAAAACTGTTGGGGTCCAAACCTTCTAGTGCTCAGGAAGTCGAATCCACATTCACTGCGGAAATGCAACCACGAATTCGACGTCGCTTTTCCACTCAGTTGTTTCTTAATGGCAGGAGTGTTGTTATCACGTGTGCAAATAAGTTCGAATTTTGATATATTTCTTATTTAAGTTTGACCATAAATGTGATTTTGGATACCAGGAACCAATACCAGGATCCACCACCGTCCTGGTATGGAAGTCTTATGGTAGCAAATCTCCCTCTGATCCACAAGGACTGCGACTCCCCGTGGTGGTGAAGAGCTGGGGCGGACTTTGGCAAGGCTGACCTCGGAATTCCAGGGAGCCACAATGGCTTAACCAGCAAATCTCCGAAAAATAGTGATTATGCTTGGGCCCGCGTAACCAGTGAGGACGTTCAAGTAACAAGTTAGTATAAATGTGATTGAGCAGTGCCCAGGCACTCTCCGTTTAACTTCACACCAAATTGGTGTTGATTTTAAGGACTTCCCAATGTTTTCTGGTTGGGATTCGAAACGTAGATGGGCAAATTCTTGTGCTGAGTTCCCGTGACTGAAAATACCCACAGTTTTCGGAAAGTTTTTCTCTATTTAAACTTTCAATGCAAGAAGTTATGCTAGCTTTTTATTTACTGCCTATTATAAGAATTTAACAAGAAGTTACTGTTAAACAAATGTGACGAAAAGTTCATTATCGTTTTTCAGTGGTTTACTAAACTATGGTAACTATCTGCGTGCAATGAAGTGGTTAGACGTGTCTCGCAGTACACGTGGGTTCGTTCTCGCGACCCTGGCTCACCAAACTTTAAATCCTTCCGGGGTCGGAAAATTTTCTTGTTTAGGAGGACAGCAGCACTGGCTCGATACATCGGCATCCCAATGCGGGTCATTATATAGGCCATATATGCATCCAGTCATCTCTAACGATGATTAATGAAGTCGAAGGCGTGGCCCATCTCATGGATGGGTCGACGCCGGGATCTTTTTTCAGCTTTAATGATGCTTCGTCGTTTTAGTTTATCGATAGGTACTAAATACAGCGAAAACTTTTTTGAGCTATATGTAGTTTGGGGAGTTTATTTTTTTCTCTTTGAGCAAAAATATGATTTAAAAGCTTTAAGTCTCAGGAATGAATGTAATTCGAAGAAAGTGCATATGAATCCCATGTTGAGTTCAATGTTGAGAGCTTATTCTCCCGATTTTAATTTACTGACAACAGCATTAGTATGGCGGTTATCTCTACAATCACGAACACCACTAGACGCGGCACTGGGGGAATTTGAATGCATTGAAACGTCGCGTTTCAAGGAGTATTCATTACGGTCCACTACTTCAGTAGATACCGTGCCAGTGCCGAGGTCATCAGATTTCAGGCGAAAGTCGTGCATTTGGCCGATAAACTCTACAATTTGCGCGATTTAGAGCGCGGAACACCATTGGGTTGGGATCGAAGAAGAGTTCGCGAGTATTTCAAGTGGTCTAAAGAGGTGGGTATGTCACGTTTCTTATATGTAGGATAAAATTGCAATTACCTTGAATTACAGGTGGTTTCTGGTCTCAAGGGAACGAATGAAAACCTGGAAATACTACTTGACGACGTAATCAATAGAAATCTCAAGTAGAAAGAAAAACATTTTATGGTTTTGACATCTTGGGTATCCATATTTCTCTTTCTTCTAAAGTTTATTGACAACCTTATGTTCATTGATCTTTAGGAAGTTTTCTGCCAAATGACATGTTTATAAATAAATTTTTTGCCTTCACGGAGAAGTCGATTGGATAATGTGTACATTGGATATAGATATGGGTTTCTTTACACACTTTTCTTCAGAATAGACTCCATGCAGTAAACGACATTCGTAAACTTGCAGCTTTGGCCAATTTTTTAGAGATCAATAATGCACACATTATAGAAGGATGAGTACATATTTGGCCCATCGGATCACTCGCCGGAGCCTTCTCATGTGTCGCACCTGTTTTTTTCTATCTTCACAGCCAAATCTGGCACGTATATCTACGTCAGAGTGATGGAGAGCTCGAGTAACCCGGAGTACCTAGTCCAATATATGGCCTTATTTATATTGCAGGGTTCTTCTAACCACTCAGCTGCACAAGCCATTGTGTAGTATCATGACCAATCTTGAGTCTAAGCTGTTTCTAGTTAAGATAGATTAGAGTTATCTTAGAGGTGCACAGAATTTGAGTTTCATTGTAGATATGCTAGCCTAAAATTATTTTCGTCTAATTTTGGTTCACCTTGAACTTTACTGGACGTTATTCGACAACGTCAGCTGTCAAGAAGCATCATGACTGACCTACTGACGTCTTTTGGTCAATACTGAGTTTTTCTTTGTGGCACGTTAATTCGATTCTCAAATTAGCCTAACGAATCACTTAGTCTTAAAACGTTACAGGCTTTTATTTCTACCCTGGAGTCTTTTCATCATGAAAAGTTTTTCCGCAGATGCTTCTTATTGCAGTTGCTAGTCGAAAATAGGCCTTCGAGTCAGTTCTCGGCACCGAATAATCACTAGCTTTTAGCAGAATGCTCAACTTCATGAAAAAATGCCACGCGGGACTTTTCGTAGTCGTCACAAGGCAATACCTCAAACTTGGTTGGGTAATTAAACCGTTTATAAACATAAATGCAACATCAATACAACACTAATATCTACAGAGAACTACTGACACACAAATAAGGCAAGTTCAGGGCTATGAGGTGCTGTACCTACTACTAATGCGAGGCTTACGAAGGCATAAGGGTATTGGAAATAAAACTATTACGACATTAGTACTATGATAACAGCAACTTGATAACAATGGTAAGTAAGGACACGAACGATAGCGCCCGGACTGGCGCGTACAGTGGCCCAGATGCCGAGGGATAGAACAACAGACAAGTGAGATGCAGATGAGCCCTGCATTATGCTAACCTAGGGATCGTATGTAGAGCGGCTGGGTGCACTTGCACATTAATGGCTGGGTGCACTTGCACATTAATCGATGAGGATAGCAAGGAAAGATAACGACTGAGAAATGATAAGCCTATAGCGGCTTAACAAATACACAGCATAAGTTGGCCGGCTAGCGCCCTTGTACGCATGGCGTACCGTATGGGAGAATGGTACATACCACCGGTGGCGTTCCAGACAACGCATTTGAGGATAGCCGCCGCTACTGACAACACACCGCAGACCAATTGATAAACAATGAACATTGACAAGAGGATGAGAATGAGAATGAGAATGAGAATGAGAATGAGAATGAGAATGAGAATGAGGATGAGGATCAGGATGAGGATCAGGATGAGGATCAGGATGAGGATCAGGATGAGGATCAGGATGATGAGGATGAGGATGATGATGATGATGAGGATACACTGGGCTGATGGAAAGCGTGACGTAGTGACAGTGATGCTAAACTAATTTGCAATTCGCAACTGTCACTTAACAATGATATGATGAAGTTAATGTACAATAATGACTACGTGCTGTATGACTTGATAACTATGACAACCTACATTGGTGACACACGAGATCAATACGGTGCGGATGTAAGGATCCGGCGAACCCCGACACGGGTGAATCTGGATGGTCGACGAACCTGTGCAAAAATTAACGAACCTATTTATATGCTTCTGGAGAAGGCGGTATTTGGCACAGGTCCAACATCTTTACCGAAAACATTCGTCGGCTACCGTCTCCATATCCTCTCAAAACCACATCATCAGGCGGAAGACTGCTCTCGGAAACATCCTCATGCCCTTCTTGTTATTGTACGCGTGATGACTTTTGAACAGTAATAACAAACAATGGTTCAGATTGCAAAAATAACAAGACTGTTTACAGCGATCGAAGTTGCTAAGGACGGGATCGAAATATTTACGTACTACGACATTTGCTAGGCAACTTGAGAAACAGTGGGTATGATCCTTAATACTGAAACATACAGTAGTAGAAAGATACAAATATATATAGAAAGAAATAGAAACTATTCTGGGAATAGTTGCCATACTTCTGGTTCCAAACAAGGAACATTTTGACGCTGACATCAATGTGATACTCCGGTGACTTCCATTCTTAGAGATTATCACAACAGTGGGCCAATTTTCAAGACAATATTATTTAAAAGACCCTTCTAAGAGTTGTTATCTTAGTTGGATTTCTCCTGCTACATCATTTTGATGGCTCAAATGATCGCACGCATACCACCTCTCGGTCCTCGTTGGAGAATTCACGTAGCAATGCCGCTAACCCCTCCAGAAACGCAAGTGAGCTTAGCACGGCACACTTGGAATTACGAGGAGAATGCAGTTCGGTCAGCACTTAACATTTCAATGAGGGGAGAAGATAGATCTTCAAGCTGCAGCTTAATCCACAAACGAGGAGTTGTGGCTGTGGGACATAAGAGCGCTGGTCTTTTAGCCTATAAGACCTTATCTATTTCCTCTTTTTGATTCATGAATATTGCCCTGAGTTTATTTTCCTCTATTTTTATTCGACCCGTCTTCACGTCTACTGTACGTATCCCAGCACTTCTTACATTCGATTCGTTTCCTCGCACCCATTGTCCACGAAGATCTTCCAACTTTCGCGTGTGGCTTCGGTTGCTGCTTGAGAATTTTCATTCCATCTTGAGTGTCGTGGAATGCTGGCGGAGCAATTCTCACTGGAGTCCTGAGATAGCCGGGCTGGAGCGTTCCTAAATGGATTGCAGAGAGTGATTTTTTCCCAGACAACTCCAGTACCAATTTCCCGACCCCTGATGGATAGGCTTGGTTGACCCGGTACGAAATCGAACTAGAACCACGCTCGTGATGACGGACATCACTATCATTGGACTATCCGCCCCTTCCTGAATTTGTTAGTTACAAGTAATTACAGCAAGAATAACTGAATACTAAGCTGGTGCGAAATTTCGAGATATATTAACTACTGTAGCACAAGACTCAAACACAAAGCGGTGTTCAGTTCACGGAATTCCCATATATGAAAATCCTGAAGGTTTTCCTTGTCTTGCACACTGCTTTTTTGGCGTTTCGCTTTTTAACAGCATACTTGGTTCGAGCGGGCCGATAGCAACAAGTCGTCACCAGTTTGTTGTGTCTGTTGCCAATGGCCGAAAAACCGGGTCGCGCGGCGCTAAGGAGTCTCCAACCGGCGCCGCCCATATCGTATTCGATTCGTTTTCTCCAAACATAATTCTGCCTACCACGGGTACAATACTGGATGTACGTTTGTATCTTTCCTCCTTCACTGTCAATTGATTACTAACAACTGCTCACTGTCTTCACATATCAGCAGAACTGGTTATCACGTAGGCAGCGGTGCAAAATAGGGAAGGTACCAGTACAATGGAAATTGAGCGAAGCCCAAAAAAATTCGTGAAGGTAACCCGTCAAAGTATGCAACGATGACCGACTAAGCGAATATTTAAGGTTATTAAAAATTTTGTAAGATATTCATGGTCGTTTCATTGGGAAGCTATACGCGTCATAGATTGTTCTCATCACCATATAAATCTAAGACCCATTTAAGGTCTAACAGCGACAGGTACATATTAAGCCTACATGAGGGAGTTGTGGAGTATGTACTGACAAGGCAGAAATCAAATCTAACCCTGGGAACAAACCTATACCTTTTGTAAATAGTTGAAATGCAGTTCGTCATTTCTTGCAGAAATCACTGTGTGCGCTCTTTGCAGATGAAATACGAATCGAGAGCACAAGAAAAGGCACTCTCTCATATGTCGTTGATCCGTCTTCAAAAGCTGTAGTGGTCTTAGCACATCATTATCGGCTGAGTCATTCAGTGACAACGGCATATTTCGGGCTACCAGACTCATGAATGCCTTTGAACAAACCCTCACGCAGAGGAAAACATAAATTATTCTTACGACTACGATAAACATAGTTACTCCTAGGATCCGTTTACTTCATAGACTCCATACGAATCTTCGAATTCCACATCTTATTTTCAAGTTGTTGTTTCCCGTTCCATACAGCATGGTGGCATACCGTTTCAGAGAGTGTATCACAGTTGTGTTTTATCGCCAAAAAGTGAACCCGTAGTTGACATCATATCTGGCTCTTTAGTCTTCATAAACATATTTCAGTAAGTATACCTTATGAAGAAACAGTCCGACGTTTCCTGCGCTGCGCTGCAGTGCAAGATCACTCGGAACCGGTTTGACCCTTTCTATTTTTTGCCATACACACGATACATGTCATGCCTTTCGTATGGTAGCGTATTCATCTGCGGCACCTGTAACTTCATTAATCCTCATGGAACTCAATAGGACGCTGGTTCATTATCTTTTGGTCTTTCGATAGACCGACCTGCTCAGTGAGTTACGCACATTTGAAGAGCACGAAAAGCACTATAGTTTTGGCATGACATTTATCACTTCGACCTTTTTTGGCAAGAAAGCCAACGCTTGCTCGCCCAGCTCGCGATGCCATAGATTTACTTTACCATAGATGACACTGTTTTTTGTAGGACTGGTGTGCTAACTTTAACGGATGTTCACGCTAAAAATAAGAGTTATTCTGAATTGTTTCTGAGATAAGAATTTTATTAGACTTGGTTACTTATTTGGATACTTCGATGGTCCGTCTTCACGA